GCTTTTTCAATAGTCTTTAATCAGTAAAAGAAAAGCACGGCGTAGGTAAAGTCTGCTTTCACTGAGTTCTTTACCCAGTGGCGTAGTTGAAGGCGGACGGAGGTTTTGGTTGAAACGTTATTTTATAGGGCTTAGTTATTTTATAGGGCTTAGTTAACCTGAACAAATTTAAAGATGCACTTTCAACCCATATTGAAAGTCTCGTGGCACAATGTAACAATTGCAACAGTAGTAAAGACATCGACGCCATGCATGAAGATCTTATGCAAACACTGCTCTTAGTGTGCGAAAAAGTCTTGAAAAGGAAACATTACACAGCCCCGAAATGCACTCCTTGGTGGAGCACCACGCTGACTGCTGAACGCAGCAAAGTCCGTGCCCTAAGGCGCAAAATGCAAGCATGCAAGGATCCCTTAGAAAGAGAGACACACTCGCTAATTTTTCGAAAGCACAGAGCTGCTTACAAAAGACAGATTGCAAAAGCGAAGTTTTCATCCTGGAAAGAGTACTGTACCAACACTGCGAATAAGTTCGGAACTGTCTTCCGTATTGCACATGACAAGATGTTTACACCTACTAATCTTACTGCCACAATAAGCCACGGAGCAGCAACTAGCACAGAAGTAGTTGCGCACATTCTGGACAATATCTTTAGACCTGATAACGCAGACACAGATAATCCCGCACAAAGAAATATCAGAGCCAGCGTTGAGCAATATTACAATACCAAGAAAACAGATTTTGAACCACTGCCTAACGCCAAAGAAATAAGCGACATTGTTAAAGCGTTAAACACCAATAAAGCACCAGGTCCTGATGGGATAGATAATGGCATTCTGCAAGCCATTAACAGTATGCATCCGGAGTTACTGCATGCCTACATCACCTGCGTGTTGGCGCAACAGATATTTCCCAGCCGGCACGAAACTTGGTGAGGTGGTGCTCTTCCTCAAAGCGAAAAAAGACCCTAATGTACCAACGTCTTACCGGCCTATTTGCCTTCTTCCTGCCTTGGGTAAAGTACTAGAAAGAGTCGTCCTTCAAAGACTTAAACACTATATCCTGTCTGGACAAAGCATAAATGACAAACAATACGGCTTCATTCCTGGCAGATCGGTGGATCACGCGCTGCAGCACCTACGAAAATTAATAGCAAATAACAGAATAAATAACCAACATAGTCTCATTATCTCTGTGGATATACAGGGCGCTTTCGACTCGTTGTGGTGGCCCGATGTACTGAAGAGATTACAGGACATGGGTAGCCCTAAGATTCTCTTTGACCTTATTTACAGCTACCTAAGTGATCGCCGCTTACAAGCCACTACGGACGCAGGAGTGCACTCACGTTCCATCAATAGAGGCTGTCCTCAAGGATCCTGTCTGGGTCCACTGCTCTGGAATCTTGTAGCGGACACAGCGCTGACTCCTCTTTAACACAGATCCTCACACGGAAATACTGGCTTATGCCGATGACTTTTTGCTGGTAACCAAAGGGCACAGCCGCAACGCATATGAGACTAGGGCACAACAAGCAATGGACAAGATGGCCAAATGGGCCAATGACCATAAGTTAACTATTGCCAACTCAAAAACCCAAGGTATGCTTATCTGTCCAGGTAAGCGCCATCGAAGAACCCCGTGCATCAACCTTCATGGGAAAAATATTAAAATAGTCAGAAACTTGAGGTACCTTGGAGTTATAATTGACGACACATTGACTTGGATGCCACATTTAAAGGAGGTCAAGGCACGACTTCACAGGATATTTCATTCCATGCTCAGAACAGCAGCACCAACATGGGGAGTTTCTTCGAGGATGCTTAAGACGTGGTACTCTGTAGTTGCTGAACGTATTGCACTATATGGAGCCTCCATGTGGGGCATAACGATCACTACTAAAATGGAGAATCTGCTACGCTCAGCACAAAGACCATTCCTCCTGAGCATTACCCGAGGATATAAAACCTCGCCCACTAATGCTCTAAACGTGATTTCAGGACTACCGCCTCTGCATCTCTTAGCTCAGCGCGAGAGTGCAATAGTGCGAGTGCTCCGACTCAAAGAGACAATAAGTGTATGGGATAGGACTTATGTTTATACTGACTATGAGCAAAGCATTTCCGAGCCACCTTGCCACCCGGCCGAATTCAATATCTCGATGAACTGCAGGTCACCAACGTGGTTCAACGCCACTGCAATCTACACCGATGGTTCCAAAGGGGAATGCGGCACCGGTAGCGGATACTGTGTTCTACTTGGGAACCAGATCTTAAAGACCTGGGAAAGAAAGCTTAAGCACCACAACTCAGTTTTTCAGGCTGAACTGATTGCATTAAAAGCTGCACTTGTCTACGCACTGGAAAATAACTATTCCAGTATATATTCAGACTCAGCCTCTAGCCTCCAGGCAATCCAAGGCAAATGTAGTAAAAATCCACTCGTCAGGGCCATACAAAAACTCTTACTAAGAACACCTAAATACTATAGGCCTGAACTCCAGTGGGTACCTGCCCACACTGGAATACTGGGTAATGAAATTGCAGATGCAATAGCCAAAACAGCAGCAACTGAACCCCACGTTCGCACACTTGACGTGCCTCTCCCGGGTTCGTTCTTAAAAGCTGAGCTCGAGAGAGAATTACTCAAACGTTGGCAACATCTGTGGGAGACAGAAACCACCGGCAGAAGAGTTTACAGATTTTTTTCCAAAAGTCTGCCGGCTTCTAAAATCTGGCTCGTCTCACTTCACTCAGTATCTAACAGGACATGGTCCCTTCATGACTTACCTGCATCGGTTCAGACGACGCGAAAACGAGCATTGCTCATGCGGGATGGTAGGAGATCCGGAACCACTATCTGTTCGCTTGCAGAGAGACCGCTAAATATCATCTTAGGCAACCAGTAGCAAACCACATCCATGCATGGGCCGAAGCTACTTCAAAAAATCGCAATGCATTGAAACGCATATGCGATTGCATAAACATTGCACGCATAATCTCAGACAGGCTGGAGTAATTCTCAGCCACCATCCTCGTCACCAGCACAGCCCCTGTATGCTCTGTACCTGTAGCGAACTAATTTTATCTTAAGTTAGCTTATTCGGCTTTTCTTATTCCCTGTATATATTTATCTTCTTGAACTGTAAACCTTGAATTATGAACCTTGAACTATGTATTTTGCCTTATTTTATGTATTGTTTCCACTGTTTTTTGCCTTTTTTTTTTATTTTATGCATTGTTTTACTTTCTAGTATTTTACTTCTTATTACTTTTAGTATTTGTAACCAGCTATCCATTACTCTGTAAATATGTAACTGGAATTGTTCTTCACACCCGCAATGCACCCTTCTTCCATCATGCACTATCGTCTTCGTCCAGCATTTGTTTGCACTGCCCCCAGCAGTCGTCTTGAGCACAATATGTATTTATAAGTGTGTCTTTTGTTCAAGTTATTTCCGTCAGCGGGGCTACCTGGCCGATATGCTAACTACCCAGTGGACCGGCTGCCTCGCTGTCGGTGGAATTTCTTTCGGAAAAGGGCTTAGTTATAGGGATGTTCAAGGCAAATGAAGAATAATTAGATTCTAAAATGCCATACGAAATTAAACTGAGAAGAAAAACAGAGTTTACTCTAGATAAAATATTCAATGAAATTACTAAATGATTTCAACAGCTACATACTTTTGCATATTATATAACTGCTAAACAGCTTTTTTATTCGTCGAAACTTTTGAATAAAATTACGAATATCAACTAAATTATGATCAGGGTGACAATACGCCAGGTATAATTTTTTCTTATGAAAGAATTATTTTAGAGTTTTATTTCCGTTATTGCTAGGGAAAACAAAACAGAAACGTAGCAGAAACCTCCTTTTGAAAATTTTCAGCTTATTTATTCTAAACCACAGTCTTTGAAACAAAGCTCCATATATTGTAATACCAGTGTGAATATTCCTCTCCATTGCTTCAAGTGTTGCCAGGGGTAAGAAGAATTTTCTAAATAATAATCCTTTAAAAAATATTTAAGAACTGAAAAATCTTTCTCTATTCTCTACATAAAGCAAGAGCAATCAAACAGACCTTCACAATTCACTGATGGTTTTACGAACAAAATAACAAGCAAAATAATATAATTTTTAAATGTTAGAATTAATGTTTTGTATTTTTTCCCAGAAACAAACGTTTAATTATAAAATATTTCCTTACGTATCGTTCTGATTTTTTTTAATACTTATACGTTTAAATATCAAGGGGGGCCGCAAATTCAGGGAGCGATCCAGCGGCAAAAGTTCTAGCCACGTCACTGCCTAAGTGAAACTCTTCTGGAGAATTTCTTTCAGAAACTTATTAAAATAATATATAGTTATCTTAAATATTCAGTATTGTAGTACTTACACATTACCGCATCCACCTTAGTAGAAGTGGCCAAATTTTCAGAAGAAAAGATAGACAGAAGATAAGAAATCAAAGGGTTATCTTGCACTATAACTGTCTTAATTTTTATCTCCATCATTAAACTCCTTTATACAATATCGAAGAATGTAGAATTCACTGCAGATATATTACCTTTTGTTATCTGATACACATACATACACACAAAAAGCATTTTTATTCAAAAATTACTTAATTTAACAGTGCTTTCCCAAATTTTTAATAACGAACGTTATGATTACATAATTTTACTAATTAACACCATTTATATATTTTACTTCAAAATAATCTACTTAAATCTGTAATAAGAATAGACAGAAAATAATGCATTAATGCTAAAAAATGCATTTCTACATTTATACGTTAAATACTCGTAAATTTTATGTTTATTACTTATTTTTTCAAAAATTGTATTAAATATTTTACGTATAAATTTTCTTAATATACATAAAATACACTAGATACATGAAATTAATAAAATAAAAATATTTAAAAATTCTTATTTATAAGCTAAATATCTCGTTGCAAATTCCATTAAAAGCTTAAATCAAAATATCCAACTCACCGGGATCATCACGAGGAAACGTTAGTGGCGACATCTGGTGGGCATAAATGCCGCATCCTGAAGAAGAAACATAACGTTATTTAAATACCAACAAACAAGGTCAAAAAATAAATGTAATGACAAGATAACTAATGATCTTTTTTAAGTAGTTTTGTTCATCAAGTGTTCGATTTAAATCATTTAGGAACTCAAAATATTTTACTAATAATCACTCGAAACTTCGGACGTTAATCTTTTCATATTAGTTACAAAACTTAGCTCAGCTAATTAGAGAAACATTTATTACAGGTTAAGAACGACAGGATATATTTTAATCGCAGTTATTAATGAATTAATTTGACTTTATTTTTCTTAATGCATCAAAACCTTCTCTGCATATTTAATATCGAAAGGTATTATCGAAAGCTACGCATTAACATTTAAGCTCACTTTCTAGCCACTTACAGTAGACCCGATACCTTTTAAATGATTTTTTTTTTTTTATTATTTAAGAACTTCTATCTATTTCTAATGAATATTATTAAATGGTTTTGTAAGATAAAACTATTTTAAGCTGGAAAAAAATTTGTCAGCAATTTTTTTTAATTAAAATTTTTTGAAAAATTTTTTTTAATTAAATTGTTTTTTCTTCTCCTACAGTTTTTAATGCTTTTCCCCAAAATTTTTATTGTAGTTATTAGAATTTTCTAAATAACTTTAAGAATCGATTTTGATATTAATGAATAAGTTTCTGCGGAAAAAAAAATAAAAGCATATTTTTGTGTAAAAATTGAAAAAATATGACCTCAATACATTTTCACTTCCAATAATTTTTTCTTTTTTTTGAGTATTTTGAAGAAAAAAATTCCTTGTTTCTGTTAAATACATAATTTTAGACAAGCAGTAAAAATATTAAATAATTTAGTCCATATCTATACAAGTTTTAATACTTTAAGTAAAAGGATTTATTGAAAAAATGCAAACTGAGAAAACGCAGTGTAAACTGTCTAAATGGTCATTAAATCCTTTCAAATTTCTTAAAAATTGTATTACTGAACTTCAGTATATATATATATAATAAAACCTAGTACTATGCAATTGTGTGATATAAACATAAATCACAAGTTTTTACTTGAAACCTTCTCTGTGGAAAATGTAGCAAAATAATAATAATAATAGAATTCAAGTAGAATTCTTCTTTACCTGTTTTTGCTTTGTAAAACGGTTCAACACAATTCCAATATATGAATTAATTATAATATATTCTCTAAAACATTTAATAATCAATTTTAAAATATTTATCGCCAATATTAATAATATTAATTTGTCATTTTATTCATTTTTTCAAAAAGCAAAATTTGAAATTTGAGCAAACATAAAACATTTTATTTAAAACCTCTCAGTAGCATATACGATTTCTTCTTTTATTTTAGCCAATTGGTCTCGTATATAAATTGTATTTTATATTAATTTAGAAGTATTTTAATTAATAAAAGAGTTTAATGTTTGTTCCAGATATATATATTATATATATGAGCCTGTCAGACCAAACGTTTAAAAAAAACTTACTGTTTGAATTAATAGTTTATATATACAAATAGGATTTGTTGATAGTTGCAGTCATATTTAATTACATTCCTCTTCTCTTTCACTTATTTTAATAAGTGACTGAAAAATTAAGAAGTAAAGTAAATAAACAATGAGGGGTGTGTGGCATTTAAAAGGCAGTAAAATTTTTTTAATGCCGTTTTATGCCATTTATTATCATCAGATCGTTTTAAAATTTCTTTTCAGTGCAGTAATAGTGTTAAGGTATTTTTTTAGCATAAAACTGAAAAATCGGTAATTTCATCGATTTTTGAGGAACTCAGTCCCTTTAATCAAATAATATTGTGAAATATAAAGATATACCGATGATAATTCTGTTTCATAGAACACTAAAATAATATTTATTTTAAATTATTACGATGCAAGTCCATTCCTGCAGATTTCCTTGCTCCTTGTGAGCAAGGACCTGTACCTGTTTCCCTTCGAAATCGATTGGGACCTTGACGTAAATCTAAACCAAACTCAAGGTTGCTGTATTACTAAGTTCATAAACTACTATACAGTTGTTGGTTAATGAGTATAATCTTAGTTAATTTATCCGAAAACTTGCTGACCTAAGTCGAAAAGTTGAGAAATTTTAACTTTATATAAGAAAGCATAAAACGTTTTTAAAAGTCACAAATAGTTTTGAAGAATTTTAAGTTGTGTAATTTATTCGAAGTATCAAACCCTGTGTAAAATAAACACTGCAAATAAAATATTAAATGGTTTTGTTTGGTTAAACAATTTGGGTAAAATAACACGTATATTAAATTTTAAAAACTGGCATTTTTGTTGCTAGTATAGTACTTTCATTTTTTCCATTTCCTTGGAAAAGCCTAATTTTTCATTTCTCATTTCCCATTAACATTACCAGAACCTTTATTACCCACACGACTTGGCAAACTAACCGTTTTCCCAGATATTATTGTTTAACGTGACAAAATCTTTGTCTTCAAAATTAAAACTGTGCATTGCGCAACAAATTCAACTACTTAAAAGCAATTTTAATAAATTTAATATTCATAATTAATCATTTAAAAGTTTAATAATATATCTGATTAATATAATTTATAATTTACATACTGATATAAGATATAATTTACATACTTATAAGACACACTTTTTTTTCTTTGAAAATAGATCTAAAAAAACTGGGTGCGTCTTATACGTCGATATTCAGTTTTTGATTACATTCATTTCTGAAATTTCCTCTATTCGGAGTTATGCAATTTTTTTTCTTTTTTCCTTGCGAAGTGTGGGTATATTACAGTTACGTAGAGCTTAGTGAATGCGCTGTCATCGACAATCACAGCTGGCTTCGTTTAAACTTCCCAGTTTTTGTGAACGACTTTTAAGTATGTGAAATTTCTACTGTTCAGTTTTCTTAAATTTGTTGACAAGTTAATGGATCAAAAACAACGCCAGCATACAAGCTACGTGTATGCTGGCGTATAACATAGCTACGTGTGATTGCGTATGCTAAAGAACATGGAAACGGCTGCAGAGATGCATTTCGGCCGCCCCCAACTGAGAAAATGAAAAAAACCTTGGCGGAATTTTAATACTCAATAATAAAGTTTTATCGTTCAAAAATGTGTATAAAAAGGGGATACGTCTTATACGCCGGTAAATACTGTAATTTATAGCACAACGAATTGTCAATTTCTATAAACATTTCACCTTTGTTGTAAATAATAAAACATGTTTATAATTACAATTTACCTTTGTTGTAATTAATAAACCATATACAGACGTCTGTAAAGAATAACTATCTGCGTCTGTAAAGAATAACTATTAATTTATTTTACCTATTTCCTCCCTGCCCACCAGCGGCCGAGCAGTAAAGACGCTGAACACTGGTAGTTCGGTCTGAGGTTCGAATCCCGCGAACGGGCTGGCTGCATGGGCGTTTTCGTGGTTTTCCCCCATGTGTAACGTGTATACGAGCCAGTTTCCCTTAGAAAGTCCTCCACGAAAGGCATCCCTCCCTTTAGGCAGATAGCCCTCGTGTTCTTTGCCATAACTGAATAATCCAAATCCTATTTCCCCCCTCTCTCGATGCAATGTTTTAAACTTTGATTGAATATCTGAAGAATTATCTCTCAATTAGAATAAAACTTTTTTAACTCGTGCAGATCTTTTTCTTCAAATAAATCATTTAGATACAAAAAAACCATTATAATTTAGGAAATACTGCATTTAAAATTTAATACATGAACAGTGAATTTGCATATTAGAATTGGTTTTCAATATTTAGTGTTTATTAATTTATATTTAACTATATAAAACTTTTAACACAGGTTAAAAATCTCTCTCCTTTCCTTAACATTAAATCAACTAAAGTTGTTATATACCTGGCTCTCTGAAGTTTAAGGGAGAAAAAAAAATAAAAAATTTAATTGCCTTTCTGTTATTGAATTACATATTACAGTTTAATAAGGCAACTTACCTACAATTATCTGGACTATATATCCAGAATTTTAAATAATCGAAACATGTTTTTTTTTCCCCTGGGTTAAAGAAAATGAAATAATTTTCCATATTCTTAATTTTTCTAATTATTTATATCAGGAATTCCCAGCGGGGCTATTAAATACTTGGGGGCGGATGAATTTTTAAAACGGATCAGTCATGATTTGAGGGTCTATTCGTGGTCTGTAAATGAATATGCACCGGAAATTGATCAGCATAATCAAGATCCCGTTGATTACAAACAATTATTAACAAAATTGTTAATTAACTATTAATTGATAATATGTATTATACAAAGTCAATCCTTATTCAAAACGTATGGGTACTAAGTTTTGGAAATTCAAAGTCATTCGACAGAACTATCCCAAAATAAAAGTTGTTATCGAATCCACATCATTCACTTTTCTCTTTTCCTACCTAATAAAAGTAGACTTTAGTCAAGTCAATAATTTACTGCACAAAACAAGAAACAAGTTGAATACTTCTGAGAGCAATGAATTAAGAATTTTGTTAAACAATTTAATGTGAAATATTTTAAAAAAAAAAAAAAACTGTGTGGAAATCACATGACTTTCTCGTACGGAAATACTAATTAATTAAATTATACACATTTTTATTAAAATAAAATTAAATAATACACATTTTTGATGCAGTTCATTTCTCATCAATCAATTCACACTTCGCGGCAAGGCAAAAATACATACAAACTGAAAACATCTTCATTATAAATTGTAAACTACAAAAACTAGATTAAAAGAAATTTTTTTTTACAATTAAAATTAGACTTTGTAAGCAAAAACAAGAAATTCTGCTAGCGGGCAGGAAGACAGAATTTTCGTTGCACAAAACTGAAAGTTTACTTTTGGTCCCACTTGGCAAAAAGACACTGATGTTGGTGCATAAACTGACTTAATTCACTATTCTAATGTGAGTTTGAAATGTAACCACATGGCGGCTTCGTTAGGCTTAGTACCACTTAAACAATTTTTAAATTATTGATAATTCTACAACTACTG